TGGTCAGAATATTATATTTTATTATACATCTATATTATAATTATGCATAAGTTTTATATAACAAGATGCTTTATCAGCAAATAAATATTTATTTATAATTTTTAAATTATATTGAGTAATTAGATTTTGAATATTCTTTTCTTTTGTTATATATTTATTATTAGTTTTTTTTGTTGTCATCCCCAGGTCAAGTTGGACCTTTTTTAATTTATTATTTATGTGGTCTTTTTGAATTAAATTTATAAATGTCTAAATGTTTGGATGCGAAGATCTTGTTGATTTATTTAATGATGAGTGCCAGCCCTCTAGATGATTATTGGTCTTAGGTCCAGATGTACCATATCTGGACCACATCTCTCTAGGAAACATTGAATTATTTCCTATAAAATAATAAATTATTATTAATTTATTTTATATATTTAGTATACCAAGCCAGGTTTTATCCATGTATAAAAAAAAACTATCCATTGGTAGATTATTGGTTGTTGCTAATATTTGGCAACTGAGTGCCACATCATTTATATCTTGCGGATTTAGAAGTGGTAATACACATTCTTTTTATAATCGTTCTCATGATAGGATCATCATTATAGAGGGATTTTAAGAGTAATGTATTAACTTTTCTCCATATACTCTGGGTATAATGGGAAAAGCAACCTAAATATATATTAAAATATAACATAAAATAATATTATTATTTTACCTTTGATTTGGATCTGTAAAAACACTTTGTGCAAAGCTTCTATAGCAGCTTGCTCAAAATCTAACTGAACAAATTTAGGTGCCCAAATACAATTATGCTTCTCACATATCTTTTTGATCATGATAAAAAGTTTAATATATGTTGATTTCAGGGCCGTAGCCAGGAATTTTCACTTAGGGGGGCCAAGTGCTAACTTGGGGGGGGGGCACTATTTTTTTAAAATCAAACAAATAATTATGCATTCATAGAAATTTTTTCCTATTTTTATTAAAAATTTAATAACAAAATAATACTATAATATGAATATACAAAAAAAAAAAAATACTATAATATGCATATACAAAACAAAATATTACTATAATAGAATACGGCGATTTTTATTTTTAAATTTTAATATAAATGAACTAAAAGATAAATCCTGCTTTATTCTTTTTTCATACGCCATTAATACTAAATTTTGTTTACGTTTATCCTTGATAGACTCTCTACTGCTCGATAAAACTCTCTTTAATGTAGAGAACGAGGCCTCACAAGAAACCGTTGATATCCCAATGATTATCGCTGCTGAGTAGCATTTATATAATTCTTTAAATGCATGATTATATTTTTTTTATACATAATATGTAAGATGTTTTCAAAATTATGATTTTCTTTAGCTTCCGAAGCTAGCAATCCTTTTACTATCTTCATTTCATGATGCAGTGTTTCCATATTTAAGTTTAACAGGGATTTTAATGGGGCCATTTTATCTGATAAAAAATAATCAGGGTCAAGGGGGAACAATGTATTAAAAGATTAAAATCATCTTCTGTAAATCGGTCTAAAAAACGATCCACAAAGTTATCTATAATTTCATATTATATCCTTTTTAAAGAACTCCAATTGGAGTCTTTTTCACAATCGAATTCTAGTTTGCTATCAACTAAAAAATCTTGGAAATTTTTAGGCGTTTTACGTACCCGTGATGATTGGGGAGTGAGATTAAATTTTGATAAAAGTTTTTCAGCCTTAATCATAATCAAAGCAAAAGAATTATCACTTCTTTTATTTTTTAATATATTGATAGTAGAATCAATACAATTTTTAGCATCCACTAAATTAGTACCTACTGATTGTAAATACTTATTTAGTGGATCTATTGTAATTAATATCTCATAAATTATGATGGCTAATATAATGTAATTTATATTAATACATTGAGATAAAGACCAGAGGCTTCGACTGAATCATGAATTGAAACCTCGGAATTAAGAGTTCTATTAGAAAAGTAAAATAATACTTCACCAATAGCCTCAAAATTCTCATAAATAATGCGAGATGTTTCTAAATGACCAGTCCATCTCTGGTCTAAACTTAAGGGTGTGGCCTGTATATTTACAGGATACGTTAAAACGCCTGAAAAAATTATACAATGCATTTGATAAATTAAAAAAATTAGAAATAATAACAATATTATTATACCAATTTTGAACCACAAGATGCAACTTGTGGTTGTAGCAATGTATAAAAGGAACATTTTTATTAATTTTTTTTTGAAGAAGTGTTTGCACTCCTCCATTTCGGCCAGACATAACGTTTGCACCATCATATGCCTGGCTTATTATATTAGCTGAATTAATATTTAGATCATTAAGTTGCTTTAAAATGCAATCTGTAATGCTTTCAGCAGAAAGACACTCGAAATTAATGATTCCTATTAAATTTTCTTGGATTTCTCCAGAAAAAATATAGCGAATTATTATGCTCAGATTTTCACAACCTGAAGCATCTTTTGTCTCATCGGCCTTAAGACAAAAAAAAGGCATCTCGCTTTTATTATATTTGTCTGAAATATGTTCAAGCACCATATCTGCCATAATGGATATTACTTCGTTTTGAATCTGTGGTGATGTATACTGGGCATTTTGGGGTATAAATTTCATAATTTAATTAATTCAGGGTCTTTTTGGATGGTGTAGGAAAATATTGCTATAAATAGTTCAGAAGAATAAATTATGATTTCATCTTTTGCAGCATCCGTAATATTTGTTGAACCAGTCCCACGGAAAGGTAGCTCTTATATGCTAAGAAACAGCATCAAATATTGATTTAATATAATATTGATTACGATTAATTTGATCACCTCCCAACATTTTAGTTATTTCTGTACCATTGTTTATATTTTGATTTTTATCATGCCATATTGTAATTGAATTTAAATGAGCTTTTGAGCTCTCGTGTTTAAGCAGTCCCTTCTTGGCAGCTAACGCATTTTTCCAATTTCTGAATCCCGTTTGTCCAAATTCATCACTTGGATTACACAAGTATTTCCTACATGGAAAACAAAAGGCAGCGTCAGCTTCTACACTATACTCCAACCAGTCTCGGCCTCTATACCATGATTTTTGAAATGATCTTTGCCTTCCATGGATATCTTTTTTCGCGTAATTGTTTAATTTGATTTGATTTGGTTTATTCTGGCCAAGGTCACCAGGGATTTGAATTGAACCATTAGAGGACTTTTTTGACACTAAAAATATTATAATTAATAAATTGTAATGAGGGAAAGGGTCATAAATAATAATGGTCATCAGGATGGGCGAAGGAAGGGCATGCTGAAAATGAACAAACACAAAATTTATCTTGTATTTAAGATACAAGTTACTGTAGTGCCCAACCCTGATGAAGATTATCAGTAAAGTTGATCAGTAAAATTTCAGTATTAAAAACTAGAAAAAAGTCATAAACATTATATTTTTAAAGATTAACAAAAAATATAATATTTTTATATTTATAAATCAATTACTAGTTGCTTCTTGACAATGAGAGACTGAGCTGCTAGATGAAGATGATTGAGTCTCTTCTTCGTCTTTATTTGTTTTAAAATCAAAATGTAATAATGAAACACCATAATCTCCTACTCCTATTCATATTGTCAAAAATATATAAATAGAAAAATTTGGGTTAAATTTTAAACTATTTACCATCTTCCTCCTCTTGATTTTCTAGATTAGCTTCATTCATATCTTGAAATATGAGTAAATATATTTATTTTAATAATTAAAATTATTATACAAAAATGATAATATTAATAATAAATGTCTTTCTCTTATCTTATATAAAATATATATATTATATTAAATAATAATATACAAATATTGCCCTATATCAATATCATATAAGTCATGAAATAATAATATAAATTTATACTAACTATGAGAAGAATCAGTTTCTGAAATTTCTGATGTAGTATTACTAGTAGTTTGTAGAGGTGATGTTGCTTGACATTTGTTTAACTTTAACTTAAAATAAGAGTTTATAATTGATTGTTTCTTCATAATTTTAAAATAAACGCTCTAAAATAAAATAACTGGTTATATATTAAAATATTAATGTGATACCTATAGAGAATGTGATACACAACAAAAACAGATGAAAAAAAATGAATGAATGATAATTTAATATTGGGTAAAAATAAAAATAAAACAGGATAAAAAAAAATTTTACAAACTAGATATGTTTGTAGAATAAATATTCAAAATTTATTTTAAAAATATAAAAATAATCAATTCTAAATAGACATGTTTTTTGAATATTTTTGAATAAATATTTAAAATTTATATTAAAAATATAAAAATAATCAATTCTAAAAAAAAATTCAAATTTGGGGGGGCCACTTTGGGGGGCCGAAGATTTTTTCTGGGGGCCAGGTTTGGGGGCCAAAAATTTTTTTGGGGAGGCCGCCCCCCCCCCCCCCCGTGGCTACGGCCCTGGTTTATTTTCTTTTGTTTGACAAAGGGCATATATGACAACCAACATATGTTCCTTATAATAAACATGCTGAATAAAGCTGCTGGTAAATATTTGGTGCTATAAAAAATGTGCCATCCATGTACACTGTATCTGATTCTGTCAGGATCTTGATAAATTCATATGTTGAAAAAATTAAGATTTCATTATTATGGTTCCCTAAAAGGAATGGTTGTCCTTCACATAATGTGAACTCAATAGGTAATATAAGATCCATGGAGGTTTTAGGTAGGTTAGGCCTAGCTTGTTTAACCATTCTATCCATTGATTTTTGGACTGTTTGATAAGTTGGAAGTGCATCAGGATATCTATTGATATTAAGTACTTTTTGTAATCTATCACCAAGGACCTTGTTGTATATATTTTTCTTAGATTCCAGAGTCTTAAATTATCAGCTACAGTATTAAGCATAATGTTTTTAAATGATTTTAATTTACCGCGATTAAATAGACCAATCAGAGAAAAATGGACCAAATTTACGATTAAATGACTTTACGATCAAAGTTAGGCAAATCTTTTTTGGGATTTTTGACGCTAAATCAGCTGTGGGAATATTTCGGCTCCGAACCCAAATTTTAATTAGATTCTAAATTTTTCCAGATGGCTCAATTATTAAGATATGTTTTGAGCCCACAATTATACTCAATCATATCCAAGGTACAATCTTAATTGATTTGTTAGTATATATATCATTTGGTAGAAAATTTTAAAATATTTATCTTTAACTTATATGAAAAAAAAAATTCTTAATTATGATAATATATAAATTTATTATTATTTTAATGATTAAATTGTATCAATATATGGCAAAAATTACTTTTTAGCTATTTAGTGATTGAGAAGATTTATATTATAATATTTTTTGTTTGATAGCCTGACTATTACACTCCAAATTTTTTAGAAGACTCAGGCAACATAACCTTAAGAATTGTAAATTTCATTTTAAATTATACTAATTTTGATCCTTTTTTAGATTGCTATTTTGAAATCATTAACTATGTATTCTTCACCGATTATATTGTTATTCATCCAAAGGAATGGTGAGGTCTAATTTTATGTTATTTATGCAATTTCCCACATCATTTAGGATATTATAAGAAGAACCATGCTTATGTATATCTTAAAATCACATTTATTCTCTTCTGTATACTAACCTTTGGCAATTTATTAAGAGGTATAATATTATTATTTAATGGATATTTACCAAATTAATTTATAACTTTAAATCAGTGATCCAAACTGTAACAAATATAAGTCAAATAATGGTTCAGGTTTGGTTCTAAAAAATAATATTGGTTTAGATTGAACCTTTATAAACTGGTTGAAATTTTCACTATAAACATATTAAAATTAATAAAGAAAAGAATAATTTTCAAAATTTTATCACTATTCTATAAAGAATAATATTAAGTCATATTCAATTAAAATATTTTCAAGATATGTCTATAAGGAGGAAGATAACTAAGAACACTTTTATAGGTAGCTAGCACTGTAAAATAACAATTTACACAAATATTTATAAATAATTACTGATTTATAAGTTAAAATAGATTATTAATCATCCTTTAAAGGAGTTAAAATATCAATAAATTTAAACCAGTTCACAGGCAATTTAAAGTTACCTTTTTAACCCTCTATTGCACCATATAAACCTGAGGCAACATTTAAATATTTTGCTATAAATATTGTTATAATATATTCTAAATAACATATATATTTTATAATAAAGATGCCAATCATGACCATAACATTATTTTTTCTATCAAATATTATATATTTCATTCATTCGTTACCACGTCAGAAATTGCATGAGTGCAATTTCATCACCCACCAGGAGTTGTAGCGTGTACCATTTATATTCACTAGTATATAGATCCTATACATGATGCATACCCATTTTATTATAGTGGACAGTACCACTATGTAGTCAGCTAGCATAGTAAAGAAGAGAGGAGTAAGAAAGAGGGGATCTATTTGTTCCGTTACTGGCAAGATAGTGTTAAGAAATTGTAACCAATATTAATAATTATGTACATTATTCCTGGTTAGATATTTAAGAGATGAAAAAAAAAATAAGTCTTATGTTAGGTAAGTATATCCTTGGAAGATAACGTTATATCTATATAGCGTGTTCTATTCCGGAGGCATCCAACTTCCCTGTAATTGTAATCTCAATCCCTGATTCCCATTATCCTAAAGAGCTTACTATCTTCATTAATTTTTGTCATTCACTAGAATCAATAGTGTCCCCATAAATTCTTGTCTGTATTAAGCAAGCGATGCTTGGGATCCTCATTATTTATCACATTAGCATTATTATAGTGAACCCGGAATCATTATCATTATTATTATTCATGGTTCTAAGATTATCATTGCCTTTGTCAAAGTCGTTTATCAAGTAGGGAAAGGAAAAAGACAGGGAAATGAGTTATAAAAGGGAGGGGGTTTTAAAAAAATAAAATAATAATTATCATCACCCTCATCCTATTTCATTCAATCCATAATTCCAATATAACTTGTGCCGAAATATAAATTATCATTCAACCAGGGAGAAGAGGTTGGAAATAAAACAGTACGAGAATAGTCTAATACTTCCACGATTCCTGCTCTAGTTTAGATCATATTTAAGCATGTATTATAGATGTACTTTTAAATGTTTTTTGTTTTTGCTGAGTTCCAAATAATCTGTAAGCGAAAGATTGATCACATGTCCTTCAGACATTTTGCCAGCTTATAGTATTTGGGAGTTCTCTGCTTCCCATAATCTGGAGTCTACTTCATGGACGAAAATATCATATTTTCTTGTGAATGTCTTAAGCAATGACCAAGTAATTCTAATCTCCTTAAAGGAATGAGTCGATTTATAGGTAGGATGTCGCACCTATTCCAGAAAGTTGAGTTTGAGGTGTTGTATGGGTAGTAAGTTTTAGTAATTCTTCTTAGACATTTGTTTATTAATTTTCACTTTTATAAAATGGTAACCTTGGAAATTTAAATTTATTTTTCGTATTTTGATTTGTTATAAATCATTGAAATTCTAGTGTAATTCTATAAATATTTGAAATCTAGTAAATATATATCATTTTATATAATTATTACATTTTTATAAATTTTTAATAATAATGCATTTTTTATTTATAATAATATGGTATGTTAACTGAGGTTAACATTGCGCATTTAGATGATTTTTGTTATAATAAAATATTTATTGAAGACTATCAAATAAATTTTTAGCTCAATGACTAGTGATATAAATTTTAAAATACCGGTAGATTGTGAGGATTCTCAGAGTGATTCGTCTGATGAAGAATATATACCATGTGGCACTGGTAAATTTAGTATTTCTTATGCGATAATAAATATTTTTAAGGGTAATTGAATCAGATGATTCGGATATTGAAAGCAATGACTCTGACTCAAGCCATCCAGATGCTGGAAATCTTCTTTAACTAATGTTCCACGAGTAGCTCCAAATTGGAAAGGCAGTTTACCCTTCGCCAATAAAGTTAAAAACCGATATACTACTTCAAATTTTTACTGGGAAATGTACTTCCTACAATAGACAATATAATCTATATGCAATTCAAAAAGATATAAGCAGACCCCTTAATTTATCGTTAGATTTAAGAACAATTCATAGGAATTTTGTTCTATATGAGCATTATAAATCTGCCAAGAGCTCGTTTATATTGGACGGCTAATACTAGAATCGCGAATGTGGCTAGTAATTTGTCAGTAAAAAGGTGGAAGTTCATAAAATCATGTTTTCACCTAAATGACAACACGAAAGCATATCCTTTTAGGACTGAAGGGTATGATGTTCTTCATAAAATACGACCTATGCTGACGATCACAACAGATATTTTAAAAGAAATTACACTAGGAGAAAATCTATGCTTCGATGAGCAAGTTGTTCCTTTCAAAGGGTAAAGTAAGATGAAAATACAACCCCCAAAAACCTATAAAGTGGGGTTTTAAATTAATTTTATTATGTGGACATGATGGTATTATTTATAATTATGAAATATAAATGGGGTTCTCCAAGTCGAAGGTATGCCAGATATAGGGGCTTGTGGGAATTCAGTTCTGCGCATGGTTGTCGCAGTTCTATTGCATCAAAATTAATTTTTAGACAATTGGTTCTCTAGCATAAACTTACTGGTTATATTAGCGCAAAGAGGAATACAATGTGTATCAACGGTTAGAGCAAATCGCCTCAAAAATTGCGTTTTGCCGACAGATCAAGAGATTAAAAAAGGAAGAGAAACTTTGTTGAAAAAAAACGGTTATCAATGGAGTCGATTTATCTGTTATAAAATGGTTTAACAATCGTTCCGTTTATCTAATGAGCAACTTTATAGGGGCCCACCCAATATCTGACGTAAAACGATTCGATCGAAAAAAAGGAAAGCATCAACATGAAATGTCCAGCTATTGTAAAAAATTACAATAAAAACATGGGTGGAGTGGATCTTATAGATTCCATACTAGCATTATATAGAATTCATATCAGGTCCCGAAAATGATATCACCGAGTAGCTTTTCATATATTTAACATTATGCTTGCTAGTGCATAGCTATTATACCGGAGGGATTGTAACCTCTTACAAATTTCCAGAGCAGGAGTAGCTCCTAACTTTTAAAATATCAGTTGCAGAAATATTGTGTTAAGGAAATAAAAGTATTAATTCAACAACGAGTAATAAACGAATATAGGTGCAATCTGAATATATAAAAAAGTGTAAAAAAGGTACAGCACAGTGTCTTTCAAATTCGGAAATTCGGAAAGACCAATTTGCACATTGACCGAATTATAATGACAAAAAAGGTCAGGTGCAAATTACCAGGATGTAAGGGCATTACAAAAGTGGCTTGCGACAAATGCGAGGTATCATTATGTATTACACAGCAAATAATTATTTTACTATATTTCATAAAAACTGATTTTTTTGCATTTGTATATCATTTTTATACATTATATAATTTACAAGAATAAAATGAAAAAAATGAATATATTTTACCCTTATATGTGCGCTGTGTATTCTAGTTAACATACTCCAAAAAACTTAAAAATAGTCAAAAAATTCGGGGAAAAAATTGTTTCCTTCTTTAGATATATATATATAGAGTGGAAAAATGAGCATTATAAAATTTTCGCTTTAATTGGTATAGCGTGCAATAGAGAAAAAGGAATGCGCATTATTGACTATTCAAAAATGTAACGGGTTATTTGTTACTTAAAATATAAATATTATATACAAAAAATATTTATTTTTTTCCTACATATAATATAAATAAAACTGAACAAAAAGAATATATGATAAGATAAAATTTTTTTTCATATACATAATTATAATATAAATAAAGTTGTATTATATTTAAAATTAAAAATTTTATTTCGGGGAATTTATTAAAAATATTTAAAAAATTATCTTTATTTTGAAAACAGCTTAATAGATCATCTTCACAAGGATCTTTATTTTTTCCTCATCAAATTTTTTTTTTATTCTTTATCAGAAAATATTTTGGTATATATGTTGGATAAAGGAATTAAGTCTGCTCTTTATTTATCAAGATCTTTTCTCAAACTGGAAATAAGTTCTAGTATTCTTCCTTTGTTGACCTCTAATGTTATCCTATGTTAATTCAACTTAAATAGCCTTCCAGGATTGAATTAATAAGCGGCTTACAAAACTTAAAATTATTTAACCCTCTATTGCACGCTATACCAATTAAAGCGAAAAATTTATAATACTCATTTTTTTATATATCTAAAGAAGAAAATAATTTTTTCCCAAATTTTTTGAATATTTCTAAGATATCTGTAGTATGTTAACTAGAATACACAACACACATAAAAAGGATAAAATATATTTATTTTTTCATTTTATTCTCGTAAATTATATAATGTATAAAAATGATATACAAAACAAATGCTAAAAAATCAGTTTTTATGAAATAAAGTAAAACAATTATTTGTTGGGGTAAAACATAATGATATCCCATTTGTCGCACGCCACTTTTGTTATGCTCTTACATCCTGGTAATTTGGACCTGACCTTTTTTGTCATTATACAACGGTCAATGTGCAAATTGGTCTTTTCGAATTTGGTAGACACTGTGCTGTACCTTTTTTACACTTTTTTATATATTGAGATTGCACCGATATTCGTC